GGAGGCGGCGGCCGACGAGCCGGCGCTGTGTCTGCAGTGCGATATGAACGACTGCTACAGCCGCCTGCGAAGGCTCGTGCCCACCATCCCGCCCAACAAGAAAGTCAGCAAAGTGGAGATCCTGCAGCACGTTATCGACTACATCCTGGACCTGCAGCTGGCGCTGGAGACGCACCCGGCTCTGCTGAGGCAGCCCCCGCCGCCTGCGCCGCCGCACCACCCGGCTGGGACCTGTCCGGCCGCGCCGCCGCGGACCCCGCTGACAGCGCTCAACACGGACCCGGTGAGAGGCGGGCCGGGGGTGGCCGCGTCCGGGGCCAGGAGGGCCGGGCCGGGTGGCGGGGCGCGAACGCTCGTCCTCCTTGAGCCTCGGGCCGGCCAGGAATGACAGCCAGCCTCCCTCCCTCTCCTCGGATCGCCCGGCGCCGCCAGATGGGCGAGCGCGGGTCCGGGTGAACGGCGGGGCGGGACTCTGGGCTGTCAAGTGCAGCCTGTGCCGGAGGGTCTGTGCGCCCTGCAGGTCCCCAGGCTGCACGCTGGGGTGGGGGCGTGCGTGTGCGCGCCTGTTTTCCGAGAAGGAGTCCCGGACTGAGCCGAGGACCCTGCTTGCGCCTGCTAACCTTTGCCTTTGGTGTTCGGTTGCTGTTGCAGGCCGGCGCGGTGAACAAGCAGGGCGACAGCATTCTGTGCCGCTGAGCCGCGCTGTCCAGGTGAGCGCGCGTTTCCCTTCTCGGGTAGCCAGTCACCAGAGACGCCGCCCCCGGGGGCTTCCGGTGTCAGGCACCGCGGTGTTCTTTTGCCCTCGGCATTTCTAAGGGCAAACTTCCAAAGAAGCGGATCTCCCCTTCCCTACCCCCCCGTTTCTCTTGGCACCCAGTTATTAAGTGAGCCGGTACTTCGCTTTAATAACTCGGGGTTCACTCTAAACGGAGACGAATCAGCTCGTGTCCCTGTCGCCCCCGTGCCTTTCCCCGTGACCGGCGGGGTCCGCCTCGCATCTCTCCTTCTCGTGGGCGTGGAAACTGCCCTGTTGTCCTCCCGCGCAGCCTAACACCCACAAAGGGGGATGCGGGTAGGACCCGCGAGTGAGTCTCCTCGCTGGGCTTCCCGGGGACCTGCAGCTGCCGGCTCAGCGCCTGGCCGGGCCGCAGGCTGCGGGTGTTGTCTGGCCTGGCTGGTTTTGGGTTGTTGATCAAGCATGTCTTAAGTTTGGTCGGTGGCGCCAGTTAGTCTGCAGCGGCAAGGTTCACACACCCCCTCTATTCATTCCTCTTCCACAGGTGTGCGGCCGCCTGAGCCCGAGCCAGGAGCTCTAGAGAGGGAGGGGGAAGAGCAGAAGTTAGAGAAAAACCCACCGGAGGGAAGGGAAGAAACGTCAGCAAAGCCTAGAAACGTTTTCATTCATCATTCCGAGAGGGAGCAAGAGGAAAGAAAAATAAAACTTTCACCTTTTTTTGCACGTTCATAAACATTCTACATACATACTCTGTTTCGTCTCTTCATTTATAGCCGCTGTGAATTGTACATTCCTGTGTTTTTTTGGAGGTGCAGTTAGACTTTTAAGCTTAAGTGTGACAGGATTGATAAATAGAAGATCAAGAGCAAAGCCGACTTTAGAAGCCTACTTTGTGACCAAGGAGCTCAATTTTTGTTTCGAAGCTTTACTAATATACCAGAGCATTGTAGATATTCTTCTTTTGACATCTATTGTTTAAAATAGATGATTATAATGGGGCAGGGAACTTTCTTTTCCCTGCAAGAATGTTACATATTGTATAGATAACCGAGTGACATTTCATACCGTGTATATATAGAGAGAGATGGTCTATAAGTGTGAGAAAAGTATATGCTTTAATAGACTACTGTAATTATAAAATATTTTTAATTAAATATTTTTTGTAAATATTGTATGGGTTTTTTTCTTTTTTGATCTATGGGAATATTTCTTTTGGAAAATTATTTTTCAGCTCGGTTGCAGAGCTCTTGAAATCTTGAATGTCTTTCTGTTTGGCCTGGTGTCTGATGTGTTTTTGTTTGGGCCAGTGTTGTAGAATTGGAAGTAACAGCT